TACACACACACACACACACACACACACACACACACACACACACACACACACACACCATGCCCCCTTCTCTGTGTATCCTCGTCTGGGTGTATCTGGGACTTGTCCACCCCTCTCGAGCCATCAACTTATCCTCTATCGACCTAGGACTTCCGGTGACCCACATAGCCTCCAACCCAACCTCGGACATCTTCGTGGGCGGTGTCAACTTCCTGGCCCACCTGTCAGCCGACCTGTCAATCAACATGAACGTGTCCATAGGGCCGGTGGAGGAGGCGGAGTTCTGCTGGCCTGACCCCGCCCCCTGCGACAACCATGTGAAGATTCTTGCCATAGACTCCACCCTCAACCAGCTGTTGGTGTGTGGCTCCGCCTACCAGGGCACGTGCACGGCGCACTCGCTCTACGACATCGGGCAGTGGACGTGCGTGCGCCCACCGGCCGCCCAACGCAACGCAGACGTGCTCGCCTACAACCCTCGCAACAACTTCCTGCTGGAGTTCCTTCCCCCTGTCACGGAGTTCCGCGAGTTCGCCGCGACCGGTTCCTCCGAGGGACTCGGTGCGGCTGGCGTCACGGGGTCGTCAGGACTCGGTGTTGACGTCACGGGAGAGGGGGAGGGGGAGGACGGCGCCGGCGAATGTCGCTCCAGCCTCTCCTTTATCCCGGGAGACGGGTACTACTACGACGACCTCCCCCCGGAAACGAGTCAAGAACCGGACACTGGTCAAGAACCGGACTCTGGTCAACAAATGGACAGGGCCAAGCTTGGTGAGAACCGCGAGAAGGCTGCGTGGCTGGCGCCAGCGCCAGCGCCAGCGCAGAACGGAAGGGAGCCCGGATCCGGACCCGGATCCGAGTCCGAGTCCGAGTCCGAATTTACACAGCAAGGCAACGGCGAGCTGGTTATCTTCTCCCGGTTCTTCGTCGCCGGGAACCCACATCGGAGTTCTCCGGACGAAATGGTGCCGTGGACTTTCGCCCAGAAACGCCTGACGTTCGATTGGCGCACGAGTCAGTTCGAGATGAGTTCCGCACGCGGGCGGTTGGACGGTGCTCCTATCGGTTTCGACATGTCGAGCCGGGTGCGGAGCGAGGGCTACGTCAACTACATCCACTCGTTCCAGTGGGGCAACCACTCGTACTTCCTCTTCCACCAGGAGACGGTGTGTGGCGAGGGCAGTCGACAGCACGCGTGCGTGCGCACCATGCTGAGCCGAGTGTGCAACCAAGAGGACTCTATGCTGCCCTATGTGGAGCTGCCTCTCACCTGCAAAAACGGAGTATGTACATTATTGCGGGAGGGGGGGAGAGGGGAGGGGGAGAGGGAAAGGGGGAGAGGGGAGGAAGGATGAGAGGGTACAATTTTGGGACTCCATGCTGCCCTATGTGGAACTGTCGCTCACCTGAAAGAACGGCGTATGTACATTATTGACGGTACTCATTTTGGTTTAGTTTTAGTAGAGGTTTTACGGCGCTCGCAACTCGCGCCTCTTGTGCTTTCTTGTCGTATCTCCATTTTTAATAACAGTGAAAACAGTTCATAACAAAGAGTGAGCTTTTTAGGATGTCACACACAAATATGGAGATACGACAAGAAAGCACTGAGGTCGCGAACTGCGTAAGGTCATATGAACACCAAGGGATGGATATCAACGTAAAAGTGAAGTACATTGTACTTTCATTGAATCAGGCTTACTCTGCTCACCTCTCTAGTTTCAACAAGCACAAAGTCTGTTTCGACTATCAAGGCATCCCAGAAATAGCGGGTGACAAGAGTGTGACAAACACACAAAAGAAATAGAGAATGACGATAGTAAGCATTGGGGGTGGAGGGAGGGAGAGGGGGGGTGAGAGGGTAGAGGGGAATTATGGGACTCCATGTTGGAAGGGG